TGTGTCAGAGCCTATTAGACAGCAACTCACAACAACAACAACAATGTCTCCCAGATGCTAAAACCAGTAAAGTTCCAGGCAAACATAGGCAGTTGGATACTCTATCCTTAATATCATCTTACTCCCAGTCTGCCACCTCACTCCACTCCAGCTGTACCATGCCACTGGTCCTGCTTTTGCACGCGACTTCTCCCTCTTCCTGTACCATCCTGGACTTCCCTTCCCCACCTAATAAGACTCCTTGTATAACATCAATTCCCAACTACTGCATGCAGTCCCTTCTTCTCTGGCCTTCCACAGGACTTTACACAGAGCCACATTCACCACGGTCATTTGTGTCTACATATGTTTCCTCTATTAAGCTGTGAACTCCTTAAAGAAAGAGACAATTATTCAGTGCTTTATTCCCCAACTAAATACTGTGCCTAACACTCACTAAATGCATAAGTGATATTCAAATCACTTGACCATTTTCTGTCATTCACTTTGATGAAACTGCAAAGCAATGGTCAGTCAGTGCCCTCTGAGAATTAAGGACTTGCGCTGCTGAATACAAACCCATGCTCATCCTTCACAAATCTGCACAGATATTACCTCCACTGGAAAGCCTTCCCTAATCTTCACCAAGTATTAGGTCCTACTTCTGTGCTTACTCTTTACTTGCACCTTTTCTTTAACTACACGTATGACTTGTTTTCTCACTATCTCCAAGTCTGCTTTAGTGGGTGATATTTGTGTCTGTGTATATCCATGAGACTTCTGGAATCAAAGTCCATTTGCTTTCCGTAGATACTGTCTTTTGTCCAATTTAGAAAGGCTTTAGGAATTTATGGATTTAGTTAAGAAACTCCTAATCAGAGAAACAATTCAGCTGCACTTTTTTTTATTATTATTATTCCTATAAAGCTCTGCAGACAAGAACAGGTTATCATAACAGAATGAAAAAATCAGATATTCTGATTTTAAGAAAGAAGCCCTTTGGAAGCAAATAAAGTTTGTACAACTGATTTGGGTTCGATTCTTCCTGTGATCCAGTCTGTAGCCTTCTCTTGTGATGACTGTAAAATAGAATGCCTAAGACTACTTAAAGTCTCCTGTCAAAGTCAATTCATTCTGTATCATTACATCCTCAGTGTAGCTGTGAGCCACCTTAGTTCCCATTGAGAAGTTGGTGTGTCATTCATAAAAATGAATGAACGAAACCAAGTTCATTAAGTTGACGATGTGGTGCCCACATCCTCACCTTCTTCTGGAGCTGCTCGATGGTCTGGAAGTAGGACTGGTAGTTCGGGGATGCATAGGGCATCTGCTTCTGGGAAAACTCACGGATGCGGCCCTCCAGCTCTGCATTCTCCTGCTCAAGCTGGCGCACCTTCTCCAGGTAGCTGGCCAGGCGGTCATTCAGCAACTGCATGGTCTCCTTCTCATTGCCATTGAAGGAGCCCCCACACAGTGAGCCACCCATGCCCCCAGAGGAAGGGATGTTGCGGGCCCCAGGCAGGGTGCATCCATGGCAGCTGGGGGGCAGACAGGGCCGGGCAGAACAGCTTGTGCGGCAGCTCATGTTGGACAGGAAGCAGGTGTACGACTGGTGCTGGGAAGGAATGGAGCTCTGAAGGTCAGTTTCACAGCCTATGTCCTTTACTCTGGTGTAAACCCTGATCCTCTCTAGGACTTTATATTCTGTCAGTAGTGGGTGTGGCAACCACACACAGTATTACCCCATGTTACCCTTTTTGGGGATTTTTCATCTGTAGTTTAGACACCTCACAAGAGTCCTTTACATCATAAAATGCTTTACTCTGGCTTCTTGCAAAGTCAGGACTACTCACTAGTCATTATTTTTGGTTAACTAAGAGCTTCATTGTTTGGCTTCAAAGTGACCAACCCTTTACTATGGCAACACAGGGAGTTGATTTAAGGAGTGACATCTGAAGTCTATCTCTCAGATTGTTGGGACTTCTGTGTCTCTTTCTCCGAAAAGAGACTTGTCAAGTATGTGTCTTATCCAGAAATAACTTTATGAGAAAAAACAGTCCAAGGAAACTCACTCATGAGCAATATGTTAGAGACTTCTGAAATCTGGGATTAGAAATGATCTTGAAGATCAACCTAATCAATGTGCCTCTACTACTTCATCAGTCATCCCTACCCTCCTCCTGTGGGGCTGGGGAAGCTTCACACAGTTCTCTCTCTGCGATTTTTCAGTGAACATTAGGAAACTAAGGGTGGTGCTATGGGATAAGCACTGTATTGCAAGGTCAGATTGAACCATAATGCTAGTGGTTCAAACACACCTGTTGTTCCTCAGAAACCCTATACAGGGGAACTATGAGTCAGAACTGACTCAATGATACTTAACAACAACAACTATGTGCGTAGGAGCCTTGCTGGTGCTGGAGGATAAGTACTGAACTTCTAACCACCAATTTGGTAGTTCAACTCCAACTGTCACTCCATGGGAGAAAGATGAGGCTTTCTTCTATAAAGATTTGCAGTCTTAGAAATCCTTTCTAGGGTCTCTATAACTTGTTAAAACTCTGTGACATACAAATGATACAACCTTCTTGCTGAATTGAAGAAAACTTAAAATATTGATGAAGATCAAAGACCACAGCCTTCAATAAGGGTTGCACTTCAATGTAAAGAAAAGAAAAATCCTCACAACTGGACCAATAAATAAAAAAAAAAAAAAAAAGGAGAAGAGGTTGAAGTTGTCCAAGACATCCTTTGGTTTGGATCAATCATTAACACTCATAGAAGCTGCAATCAAGAAATTAAATTACATATTGCATTAAGTAAATCTGCTGTGCAAAACCTATTTAAAATGTTGGAGATCGAAGATGCCAGTTTGAGTACTAATGTGTATCTGACCCAAGCCATGGTATTTTCAGTAACCTCTTATGTATGTGAAAGTTGGACAATGGATAAAGAAGACTATAGAAAAATTGGTTCATTTGAGTTATTGTGTTGCAGGAGAATAATAAAAGTATCATGGGCTTCCAAAAGAACAAACCAATCTGTATTGGAAGAAGTATGTCCATAAAGTTTTTAGAATCCAGGATGGAGAGACTTGACCTCTCATACTTAAGACATATCATCAGGAGATACCAGTCCCTGGAGAAGGACATCATGTTAGGTAAAGTGGAGGGTCAGCAGAAGGAGGGAGACGCTTAACAAGATGGATTGTCACAGTGGCAGCAGCAATGAGCTGAAATGTAGCAACAACTGTGTGATTGGCACAGGACTGGGCAATGTTTCTGTTTTACACAAAGTCTCTATGAGTTGGAGCTAATTCCATGACACCTAACATCAACAACAATGAGTTAGAATCCACTTGATGCCGGTGGGTTTGGTTTTTGGACTATGTGCTTGCACACGGTGTGACTGTTACAAAGATGACACCTGCTTAGTGACACCCACTGCATACAAGGCCAGGTGCTAAGCAGCTATATCCATTATCTACTCAGTCTTCATAACACCCAAGAAGACTTTAGAGATGAGGACACCAAGCGTCTGAGACATTTCCAAGATCACAGAATCCCGACATAATCCTCAGGACTCAAACCCAAGTCTCTGTAATTCAAACGACCATAGTCTCTCCATTACATGACACTGTATCTCTCTTTCAATCCCCACATTACCAAGAAGCAATAATGAAGAAATGAATGCAGTAGAGCTCAATAGGTTTCAGAAAATACTCCCTCCTAACTTAGAATGAGACAAGATATTACAAGCCTATTTTCTCTATCAAAGAAACAAGGTCATCTCTATTTTAATAGAAGAACATTTGTTGTGGTTGTGCTGGTGGTGGTGGTTGTTAACTACCATGGATTAGGTTCTAACTCATAGTGACCCTGCACAGGGTTTCCAAAGATGTAATTCTTTACGAGATCATAAAGCCTCATCTTTCTCCCATAGAACAACTTGTAGTTTCAAACTGCCGGCCTTGAGGTTAGCAGCCCAATTCATAATGACTACGCAAGAAGAACATTTACCAAGTGACAAAACACGATCACTTGTTGCTATTGTTGTTCCTTGCCATTGAGTCAGTTCTGACTCATAAAAATCCTATATAGGTTTTCTGAAGCAGTTGGTGGGCTTGAACATCCAACCTTGCAATTAGCAGCCCAGTGCTTATATTACAATACCACACCCACTAGAAGTTTGATTTAAAAAAAAGGAAACCCTCAGGTGATCTGATGCAGAAATAGCTCAGTCAATGCCTTCAAAGTCTCCGAGCCTGCAAAGACGCCATCACACGCTTAATCAGACCTCATGACCATCAGTGCATTTTGACAAACAGCCATTCTGCCACAATGCAATTGTGAGTGTAGCTGTGAACTGTGAAGATTGTTTTAATGCTAATCTATCAGTGTTCAAAGTATGAAAGCTAGTTCTCAAAGTATTTCCTTTTGGAACCTACCAATATGATGATTTTCTCTGGATAGACCCATTGCTTTTGTCACCTTTTCTTGAGACTTGTCTTCATGGCCTGTGACCTGTCCTCTCAATTATCCTCATTGAGGGCAAATCTTCATCTTCTAACAATGTGTTTATTTTTGGAACCAGCCAAATGTCACTTGGAACCACACCAAGGGAGTAAGGAAAATCACCAACCTGAGTAGTACCTTTAATGAGTCTGAAACAAGGTATGACAGTAAAACCACAAGGCATATTTCTTGGGTGATTTTAAAACTCATTTCCAAGGAGGAGCTCTGGGCATGCTTTGATGGAGGACAGAAACACTGGAAAAAGCGTGTGCCAAATGTTTTAAAGGCACTGACACCCTACAATCACATTCACAATCCACAACTCTCTGCCACTTATGCTTGAATCTCTGCTTTAAATTGATCTCAACATTGGTGAGATGGGGGTGGATGTATTGGTTTAAAATTAGTACCAAACTGATTTAAGCCCAATTTGATGAGATGAAACATTATAAGGAGCTGGATTAACTGAACTTTCATCTCAATGACACCTGTCCTCTCAACTTCTAAGCCTCCAGAAGAGAAAAATCTAGACAATGGCATTTTTAAAGACTGGGAAAGGAATGCTGTAGTTTAGACAGCTAAATAGATCCATAGAATCTCATGACCATCATTGTACCTTGTGCCCCAGACAGAGCAGAATAGTTCTTGTACCTTCAAAAGTAGAGGGCAGAGATTAGAAAATATGACTGTCCCTAAATCTTAAACAGAAGTAACTATGCCTGCTATATGATCATTAGATAATCATGGTAGAGAAGACTTGGGTCTTTTAAGAAGTGTTAAGTTTCAGTTTGTTTTCCAGGAATTCTAAGGAAGGTAATTGCTTTTCATTTATTCCACTTAGCAAGTGCTGTGAATAATTCTGACATTTACATAAGCCATAATATTGTATCTGACCAACAACCCTTCAGTAAACACAATGGGCAAATCAAATCTTAACAAATAGAAAGGTTTTGCAGCTGTCCAATGTAAATGAGGTAGATGTCATGGTTTCACCCTGGTGTCAAGACATGAGCAAATTGCAATTGAGGTTTAAGGATACTATTTATTTTCAAAATCAAGTCTATTTCCATGGGAGAGATCATTCACAAAGTCACCAGTGGTACTTAACCATGAAGTAGCATCAGGCAGATCTTCTCAGGCCAAGTACCCAACTGGAGGACTTTAAAAGCATTAGAAGGCTTCCTTCATCCTTCCCAAAACCATCTTCTCTGCTGACCAAGTACTAAAGCCTGAAATTCTTACCATGTGAAATGTGAAATATGTCCATTTAGAAACACAGTGCAACATATGAGACTACTTACACAGCAATTAATATTTAATGTGTTCAAATGGCAAGGAGAGGACACAAGTAGTATAGTGAGCACACACGGTCAAGAGAATGGACTCATGTCAAAGAGGAATGAGGCATCATCCAGAAGGAACTTACAAAGGCAGAATCTGCTCTGCTCTCTGAGTTAGGCTAGCCACAATTCAACCTGCCAATAAGAACAGTATATAGGGTTTCCAGAGGGTGTCCCAAAAGAATGACTGCCGTCAATCTCTTAATGCCACAGCCTCATACATTATGAAGAGAAATGATGGATGTAATCCAAGAAATAAACCGATGGATTTGACTCTGAGAAGATGGTCAAACAAAGCTTTCAATAGGAAGGACAAGTAGGACAGGAGCTATAGAAAGAGAGATACAGACACTTGAAAATGAGATTTATGGGATAGTTCCACAAACCTCTCCAGAACCACAATTATTTCTCTTATATTCAGTCATGGACTCCCAGTGGTAATGGAGTTTCAGAGTCTTGAAACACCTAACCAGTGTTGTTGTTTTTTCCCTCCATACATTCTAGAATGCAAGGGAAGAAAGTGAAACAATTGAAGAGTGGTTAGGAATTGGGTTTCTAATGCCAACTTTGGCAATTCAAAACTACCAGCTGTTCCACAGGAGGAAGATGAGGCTTTCTGCTCCGGTAAAGATTTACAGCCTCGGAAACCCTGTGCAGGGTCACTGTGAGTCAGAACTGACTCCATGGTACTTAACAACAACAACAAGTCTTTCTGGAAAAACTGAACTCAGGAACCACACAGACAAGGAATGAAAACTGTTTCTTTGACTTTATTGAAGATCATGAAAGAGCATCTGATAAGACATTTTTAGCAGTACACAGAAGATAAAGCAAAGTAGGCTTCATGTTTAAAATGAATATTGTGTTCAGCTGTTGAATTAACTTTGCTACGATTAGGTAAATTGAGGTAGACACAAAAGAGCCACCAAAATATGAATTCATCTCCCAGAGTCCCATAGATGGTATTTTTTCTTAGAGCATCAGTGATCTTGTACCCAGTAGATTTGCTTGAGTTTTCCTCTTGACCACCACTTCATTGAAACTCTGAGCTCTTATGACCAAGACACTTCAACTGCTTTTACATTTTCCTCTCCAAATGTTTATAATGAGATGTCACTGCTCTCCATTGAAGCCTGGCTAAACTAGGGCTGAAACCCATGCTAGGGACTTTGGAGAACCCAGGTACACTCCATCATTTCTATCAATGGTTCCCACAGTTCTTTTATACACTACCATCTTCCCTCAATGGTCATATAGCTCCCACAGCTCTATCATTTTTATTTGGACATCTCTCCAATGTCTCACAAATCTAG